GATATAGACTTTGACCAGAGGAATGAAGGTTAGAAGATAGAGCATGGTCTGTAATTCCAGCACTTTGGGGGGCCGAGGTGAGTGGATTGCCTGAGCCCGTGGGTTTGAGACCAGCCTGGGGCAATTTAGTAAGCTCTCATCTCTACAATAAATAAAAAATAAGCCAGATGTGGTAGCGCACACCTGTAGTTCCAGCTACTTGGAAGACTGAGGCAAAAGGATCGTCAGAGCCCAGCAGGTCGACGCCGTGAGTGTGCCACTGCACTCCAGCCTGGGCAACAGAGTGAGACTCCAACTCAAAACAAAAACAAAGACAAAAGAAGATAGAGCGTGAAGACTGGCCATGGGCGGTGGCCTCTGGGCCCTCTTCCACTCACATACCATTATTTTATGTACTGCTAAGAAAAAATACTGTTGATAATTATGCCATGCTATTTATTGACTACAAGGACCAACTGATTTCAAAGATACAAAAATGTAGGGAAAGTAATACATTTTAGGATTAAGTAAATAAGATATACACCAGGTTCTGTGTCAGACATGATGGGAGAGGAGGGGGATACAGGAATGAAAAAGACTCTGCCTTCAGGAAGCTTCCAATCTCACAGTGACACCTGCATATACTTCTACCACATGACTGACTGAGGCATGTGCTATATAGTGCAGGCCCCGGAGCTGTTCTGACATCAGCTGCTGCTTGTGAAGTATTTATAGGAGTTATTAATATAGATAGAATTGACAGTCATGCTTTTCTTGGGATTTCTAGTCCTTCCTCTTCTTTTTTCTAATGCCTGCAATTTCTAGGGACAAAGACTTTCCAACCATTTTTGAATGAATTGAGTTAATGAATTAAAATGCCACATGGCAAGCGTTGAATTGGTACAACTCCTGTGGAAGGCAATTTGGCATTATCCAAATTATAAATGTGTTTGCCCTCTGACCCTGAAATACCACTTCTAGGAACATATCTTGCAGATATACTCACCCACATGGGAAATGTCACGTGAACTAGGTCATTCACTACAGCACTGTTTGAAATAGCAAATACTTGTGAATAACGTAAGAGCCAGGGTAGAGCAATGGAATATACTACATCTTGGAATATTCATACTGTAGACACCAATCATGAAATGTTCAATATATGAACAGGGAAAAGATCGCTGACATGTAACGTTAAGTGAAAACCGCTAAGCATAGAACAATTCAGGAGGCTACCATTTGTATAAAAAAGGGGGGAATGAGAATGCATAGCTACAGATTTGCTTGTGTACACTTGAAGAAACTCTAGGATACACAGGAAACTGGTAACAGTGATTATGGTAGAGGAGGGTTTGGTAGAGAACTTGGCAGATAGAGATAGAGAAGGGAGGAGAACTTATTATACTTTATTTTTCAACCCATTCAAAATGTCAAGTTAATTGAATTCTTAAAAATACCATGGGAAGGGTTAACCCAGTGATTACAATTCCCACTAAAGGGTAAAAGTCTAACAGTCATTCATTCATTCAATAACCTATAGCATATCAAGAAACTTCTCTAGCAATGATAATTAACAAATGCTCAGTACTTAAAGCATTGTGCTAAGCATTTTTATGTATACTATCTTATTTAATCTTCACCACTCCCATATAGTGCAGGTATCTAATGTTATAGTGGAGGAAGCTGAGGATGAGAAAGGTTGTTTTCGCCTACAGTTCTCTGCAAACATCCAGGTGCCACCATCCTGGGCCAGGCCCAGTGCTGAGCACTAGGGATACCAAGACAAATATACTACCCTGCCCTCCAGGACCTAATGGACTAGTGAGGGAGACAGACCTATAAAATAGCGAGTCACAGACAGGTTTTGAATAGGAATATTAAAGCACAGTGCCTGAGGATTAGGGGACAAAGGGAACAGAGAGGCTGGGGACAACAAGAAAACCTCTCCCAGGATACTCTTTGGCTAAGGACAGGCCCTGCAAGCAGCCATGTGGGAGACAAGCCCTGCAGCCTCAGGCCCAACAATGAACAAAGGCTGCCCTGGGCTCTCTGGCAGTGGCAGGGATCTGACAACAACCCGGCAGGCCGTTTGATCAGTGTAGACATTCCTTCTAGACTTTGAAGCCTGAAGTGCTCTCCTTTAGCTGTCTACACAGATCAAATAAACTGGATCACTGCCATATCTCTATCCGTAGTCACAGGCAGCTTTACAACAATCCAACCAAACCATCTGAGCAGAGGCAAAAATAATTCTCATGGGCAAAGACAGACAGTTCCAAAGTGTGAATGTTAACTCCTTGCTGCCACTTCAAGAGGGAGTAGATCCTGAAGTTAGTTTTAGGAAGCTTTCGAGAGATTCTGCCCCTTTCCAAAGTGAAGTGGCAAAGCTGCTTTCTCTCCTGATATTTGAAAGCCCTTCCTTTTCCAGGGCCCATATAAGAACAGCCACAAGAGTTGACAATAATTAGCTGTGGTCTGGCTCTCAGAAAGGCAGCCCCACCCTAAAGAGCGGAGTCATCCCACCTCACAAGAGCCTTTTTATTCATAGGATCATTCTAGGGGAAACCTTAGCCTACCCCCCTCAGTTCTCAAACAGCCATGAGTAGCTCAGAGCATTCTTGTCACAGACTGGTAGGCCTGGGCATCTCACAATAAACCCAGAAGCCAAGTGGCATCGCTAAAAAAGATTAAAAATCGACACGAGTTCTAACATCTACGTTCCTAGCTGTGGTTTCCATGGAAATAGACATCTGCTCTAAGAAGAAGAAAAGGTGGTGGGGGGGAGCAGTGTAAGTGCTTTAAAATAATCAGTGTTTTGAAAGATTTATTTCTTTTTTCTGTCACAACATTAACAGTCAGAAATGTGAGATTTTTGTGTGGCAATTTCTTGTACTTATATATATGCATCCAATGGGTGGGATCTTTCTCTTAAATTTCCAGTACAAAGACTTCAAGATAAAAAGCTGGTTCAGGGGGTAAAGACTTCTTGGTCTTGGGTTCCTTGCTCATTTGTGTTGCCTGCCTATCTGTCGCATTTCAGCCGGTGCTCATCCCTGACCCTCTCCAACTTTTCTAAGATTCCACTCAGAAAAATGACAGATGGAAGCACCTGGCCATTGTGAAACTAAGTTTGGTTTGAGAGGCAGAAGCCTTTCAGGGCTCAGAATTTGAATTATTCCCGGTCCTGTTCATAGGCTAAGTGTAAACCACTTAGAACTGGGTGTGTGGGGGGGAAGCCGACCTCACACAAGGGCGATTGTTGGAGAAAATGCTGCAATAAGCATATTTCAGGCAACAGTGCATTGCCAGTTGTTTGCTTTGTGCGGTGTGTCTGCTGCTTGTATCATCCAGTTTTCACTGTCCCAGACACCTATTAATTGTATTTTATCTCTGGCACATCCCTAGTGACTAACTAGACATGGTGGTCTTCCAAAAATAAGACTGTTGTTTCGGGAGAGTTGGTGACATTTGTTTCTTGGTTTGGGGAAATATAGACCATTCCTATGTTTAGTCAGGATCTTAAAGCAGGTGACTTGGTTCAGTGACCACCACCTGAGGACACAGGATGGGAGGAGGGGTCTGGGAACCATGAACATTTTGTTTATTTTTCCTCTTCTTGCAGGAAAAGGGGCCAGTCATTCTAAGACAGCGATGGTCAGACCAATTTCCTTTGTGCCTCTGCTGTAGGTCTGATCTATCCAGGTCAGAGGAACAGTGACCTTGTGGCTCCTTTTGTTTTGATTTTTCAAAAAGCCCAGTGCTGCTCTGGGAAGCACGTGCTACAAGAACAAAAGCGACACTTAACTGCAATCAGTGTAGTCTAGAACTGCTATTGCTCTTCCTTCCCTATCATCCGCAAAGGCTTGGCAGAACAGATGGAGTCTGCATTTAAGCCGAGTGGCTTTGTTAGACCAAAAGAGATCGAATTCCAGAGTGCCAAGCTTTCTCACACAGGTCCCTGGTCATCGACTCGGGAACCTGAGGATGGTAGCCAGAATGCACACTGAGGGATGAACCACGCCCTTGATCCGGGAGGGCTGAGTTAGAAATTGTGATGACACAACACAGGTGACATGCGGGGGCACGGGGCTATATGCAAAGGGCGTGGAGTGGCATTGTCCTGTCACAGGGGCTCTGGCGTCTTAAGCACTCGCCCAGGTGGGTCGCTGGAAGGGGCACT